AACCAATTTGACAATAAATTTCATATATTTAAAAAAAAAGAATTAGTGCTGCGATATTCAACTGCTTCTTCCCATGTGAAGTGTTTATCTGGTACTGTTACCCTGTAGAATTGGGCTATATTTTAGGGAAATCTGGCAGCTTCCTTATATTCTATTTCTTCCCCATCAGCTAAGGTGTGAGAAATCGGCTAAAAGCAACGGTTAGAACTGGAGGCTCTCTTACGAGGTAGGATGACTTTTTGGCGAAACTGGGACAATTTGGAGATGAAAGGTGGTATTCACAAAACAGGACACTGGGATAGCAGGTGCAGACTGTTGCCGGCAAACAGGCATGTATAGTTGGTCGCCTTTCTCACATGGAATAAAGAACATGAGCTCCTCTGGATGGTAGCTCTTTGCTTATTTTTTAGGGTCTCTGAGACTGCTTTACAAATGCCTGAGATTAACACAAGCATGAGCTCTGGATAAATGGTTGGTAATGATAGTGAATAGCTTGTCTTTAGCTATGGAAAGTGAGAGAACAAAAAAACCCCCAGAAAATCAAATATTCATTAATATCTGCTTTTAAAAGGAATTGTGTGATGAAAGATGATTTATCTTCCTAATTATTTTTTACTTAGACTAATCTTATTAATTTGGTTTGCTAGCCACACGATGATTAATAACTAGGAGTTGAAGTACAACCTAGGAGGTAGGCCCCTAAAGTAGTAGGGGGGGACCACTTGGTACCAGAATACTTGTTAAAACTAAGCCTTGTAAAAATAATTTGTGGTCTTATTTTTAACTTATGTTTCTAGAAACTTACTTGTAAGTGTGCAAAACTTTCTTTTTCCAGAAATGAATTAATTTGAGCAAACAAGTTAAATTAAACTTGTTTACAATTTAACATATAGATATTTGGCATCCTCCTACTCCATCTTAAAAACTGCTTTTAATGTGATATTACTTTGATTCCTCATTTTCAAATTAACTATTTAAAAATGTGTAATTAAATCTGTGTATAATAGTCTGTGGTAACAGAGCAGCAAAATCTAATCTCACCTTGTCTTCATACAGCCTTTTGGCTTCCCTTAATTCAGAACGTAGCTGAGAAACAGTAGATTCCAGATCACTGAGTTGACGCATATACATTGAATTTTGGTTTCTTGCTTGTTCTCTAAGAAGGGTTTAAAAGGAGAATAAAAGCAAACAGCAAACTGAGACTAAGTGTGATATCTAAGAATACTCTAGCATTTAGATACTTCCATACTGCCATATACTTCCTTTATATGGCATTGCTAGGCCAAAAGTCCGTTTTTGTTTCTTTGTTTTTGTTTTTAATGTTCACTCATCCATTTTTGAGAAACAGAGAGTACAAGCAGGGCAGGGACAGAGACGGAGACACAGAATCCGAAGAAGGCTCCAGGCTCTGAGCTGTCAGCACAGAGCCCAATGCAGGGCGAACTGTAAGATCATGACCGAGCTGAAGTTGGATGCTCAACCAACTGAGCCACCCAGGCTCCCCCAAAGTCTTTTATTTTCCAAAATTGCTTCCTAAAAGCTTCAGCTCAACAATGTTGTTAACTGTTGAAGCTAGATGGTGTATATATGAGTTCATGCATACTATTTTCTCTCTACTTTTATATGTGATTAAAAATGTCCCTAGAAAAACTTTTAATACATAACCTCAAATTATAAAGTTATTTATATGTATACATATAAATATATACGTAAGTATATATATACACACATAGTGTGAGTGTGTTTGGTCCTATCAGTTGAGATATGAACAATATTTAAAACATCCAATTCCAAGAGTCTTAAATACTTGCGATAATATTCCTTTTTTTTAAACAATTTTTTTTAATATTTATTTTTGAGAGAGAGAGAAAGACAAAGCATGAGTGTGGAGGGGGAGAGAGAGAGACAGACAGACACAGAATCCAAAGCAGGCTCCAGGCTCTGAGCTGTCAGCACAGAGCCTGACGCGGGGCTCAAACCCACGAACCGTGAGATCATGACCTGAGCCGAAATTGGATGCTCAACAACTGAGCCACCCAGGCGCCCTGCAAATAACACTGCTTAGATGGTCATACGACATTATCATTTAAGTAATCTTCTCAATTCATTTAAATGTTAGAAAAGTTTTACTTTCTTGTGGAATCTGTAAGCAAAGTTTAAAAGATTTTAGGACACAACATAAATGAAATAGTATCTCTAAAATGAAGATAAATGGCTACCAATTTCAAACCACCAGGACACACATACTGAATGATTTCCAGTTGACTCTGGATGCTATTGGCTTGGCTTCGAGCACTGCTAGCTTTCTCGGTAAGTCCTGTTATTTCAATTTCATGTTCACTTATTAACTGCTCAATCCTATAAGAAGAATGTGGTGTTTGTTATTTGATACATAACATTTTGTTTGACTATTACTTATTCTAAAAACTAATGATTTTCTTTGGGATGAGCACTGGGTGTTGTATGGAAACCAATTTGACAATAAATTTCATATATTAAAAAAAAACTAATGATTTTCAACACTCTCAAATTCAGTATTTTGTTTTGACTTTGAATATGCTACTCATTTTAGGTTTTGGAAGTCAGATTTTTAAAAAATTTTACAATGGTAATAAATTCCAAGTACTAAATATTATATGACACACCTAGGGAAGTGTCCTCTACGCCAAAATATTAGAAATACAAAAACAGGTTTTTAAATATTCACACTAAATCATAAAGACTTTACATCATAAAGCTATGCATTAGGCTCAGGTCAGGTTTTGCCAACAAATGAATGACAAAGGCTCTCTCTTTGACCAAACTTAAGTCAGGCTCCTCCGAGGCCTCTTCTAGGTCTTGACTTTGGCACCCTTCACCCCTGCCCTTGGCCTGCTCAGGCTTAGTAAAAATCCCCTGTCCTTGATGTGTCCTCTTAGTGATTTTCCATCCACTGCCCCTCTCACCTGCTCCTTGGCTGTAAATCCCTGCTTTCTTGGTTGAGGTGAGAGAGCTAAGGCTCAACTCTCTCCCCTAATGCAAAACTCCTACAACAATAGCTTTGAATAAAGTCTTCCTTAACCCTCTTAATAAGTATCAGAATAATTTTTCTTTTCACATGAATTTACCACAAACCTATGAAGAAAACTGCTTTGTTTCAGAACATTTTAGATTTTGGAATTTCTGATGAGGGACTGTAAACCTATGGTTTCTTCACTATGACTATCTATACTTCAGTCAGAAACCCACCTATCTTGATGTTGTTGAAGAAGCAGTTCTATTTTGTTCTGTGATTCAGACTTCAGTGCTTCAAGCTGCTCCTCTACCTAGTTATAAAAAAGAGACAATGATTTAGGGACTGGTAAATCTACATTTTGGAAAAGTTGGAGAGCTTCCAACTAAAGGAACTCTTTGGAAAGAAGCAAATAAAAGTAATACTGAAACTGAATACATTCTATCACTGTATTTCATTAGAGCATTGACTTTGGTTATACTCTCACGAAGCCACACAGGCAAATCGAGCTAGTTCCCTTAATTTATTGAGAGATCATTGTAAATAACTTATTTTAGAGAACAAAAATGAGAACTTGCCTTACTTTTAAGAACTCAGAAAATTATACACTTAGTACTATTCTCTTAATGGATTTTAATATAAAATTGAATAGTGTTCTCACCACTTACTGGAAATATCCTCCCTTTAAGATAAGATATCTCTGTGTCTAATTCTCTTAGGATTTTGCTAATAGCTGAGCCCATGTTGCGGAAGTGGAGAGTAGACACGCTGTCATGTTCATATATCTTCTTGCCTGAGGCTTCTTCAAAGTCAACTAGGACTGATCTGATATCTTGAAGCACTCCCTCATGACTCAGCATCATCTTTCTCAGCTGCTCTATCTGTGTGTTGCTATCTCTCAGCATGTCCTCCTTAAGGCATTTGGCAGCTTCAAGTTCATGAACTGTATTTTGAAGCTGATTTCTTAAATCTTCCTGGGACTGACTCTCCCTTCGCCTAGGAAGTAAGTGAAAGAGAAGAAACAATATTGACAAAACTCATGTTCACACAAGTAGTTTTATGCTACAAAGAGTCAAACTTTAAAATAATTTTAGGTAGCGAATCCCAACCTGATGTCAGCCATGGCATCTCTCTCCATTTGCATCTCTTGAAGTTTTGTTTGCAAATCAATGACGGATTGCCTTAAGTAAAACTTTTGTTTCTCATGCAATTCATTGCTCTGAAAAAAAAAAAAAAGCCACGCAAATCAGTCTTCACCAGAGGAATGTATTTCCTTACAGCTAATAATCTCCAAAAAATCCATATATTATTAATTTACTTTTATGCGTACTTCCTTCTCCTTTCACCATAGTTCAGGGTCTAATTAATCATACCTCACAGGTTACTGAACTATCTTAACTAGACTCAAAACTTGGCCCCTTTCAGAATCACTTCTTTATTTAATAACCAAAACACTATTTCTAAAACAAATCAGACATCCAGCTCAAGATAGAGATAGAACGAAATTTTGTTCTTGAAAACAGGGAATTGGTTAAAATTCTGTAAACAGAAAAGTTGATCTAAAAAATTTAAAAAAAAGTCAATCCCCACCCCCAACCCACTTAAACACTTGACAGCAGACAACCAGTACCCAAAATGCAAAGTGTTCTACTACAAAGAAATTCATTCAGATCTCTAAAATCAGGCACTGAGGCATCTTCCAGCATAATAACTGGTGACAGCTAATCATCCCAAAGCCAAGCCATTGATTTCCGCCAGTGATAGAGAGCTTGCCATCAGCTTTTTTACTGCTCATCTTTGAGTATGAACAAAAGCAAACAAACCAACAAACAAATACCACTGAACTCCTGAAGAAAGATTATAAAATAAAAAAACAGAGACCAAGTTAAACAAAGAAACACACACACACACACACACACACAAAAGGACCCAAAGAATCAAAGTTATGAAGCAATGGAAGAACACTTTTTAAAACTTACATTTGCAGAGAAATTTGAGGGACATTACAGCTATAAAGAACGAAATACTATGCCAAAGAAGTGATCGGGGGCAGAAGAAAGAGTTCTTGGAAATTAAAAATATACTTACACACTAAAAAAGCTGCAATAGGAACACTGGAAGTCAAGAAATGTCCCCCCAAAGTAGGAAAAGTAGGTAAAACTTTTGAAAGAAAAAGTAAGAGACTTAGAGGGTCAACCTAGGAGACACTAACTGACTAAAAGGAGCTGCAAAAGAGAGAACTGAGAAAACAGAGGGAAAGAAACTATCAAAGAAAAAAACAACTGAATTCTTCAAAGCTGAAAAGTACATATCTGCAGACCAAAATGATCCACTGAATCCCCAGCACAGTGAATGAAAAAACTAAAACCCACAGCTGTGCACATTATGGTAGAATTTCAGAGACAGAAGAGCCTAAAGCCTCCAAATACAAACCTCAATTAACCAAAAACATATCATCTACAAAGGAGCAAGTATCCGACATCTACTTCTCAGTAGCAATACAAAATTCAAGGACACAATATTTTCAAAGGATTGAGAGAAAATGACTGCTAACTTACCAAACTAAAGTCATCCTCAGAATGCAAAAATCCATAAAATGTATGTCCCATATACCCTTTCTGAAATTTCTGAAGATGTGCTTTGACTAAATGAAGAAGTAGATCAAGAAAAAGGAAGCCAGCAAATGGTGAGCCCTGGAAATCATGGATCCATTCAGGAAAGCAGTGATAAGAAGAAAACAGTTCGTTATATGCAGACCTGAGGAGAAACTCACATAGACTGGAAAACAGGTCAGAAGACTCCTGAAGAGCCCTGGGTCAAAGGGGAATTTGAGAGAAAACCTACATGATGGTTCTTTAAGAAAAAAAAAAAAAATGACAATATGATAAAGGAAAACCGCACAAAGAAAAAGACAGGCAATTAAGAACCACCAGAGGGGTGCCTGGGTGGCTCAGTTGGTTGGGCGACTGACTTCGGCTCAGGTCATAATCTTGCAGCTTGTGAGTTCCAGCCCCGTGTCGGGCTCTGTGCTGACAGCTCAGAGCCTGGAGCCTACTTTAGATCCTGTGTCTCCCCCTCTCTCTACCCCGCCCCCGCACACGCTCTGTGTCTCTCTGTCTCTCAAGACTAAATAAACGTTAAAAAATTTTTTTTGTTAAAGAACCACCAGAAAAAACACTACACAGGAAAGGAAATGTAATATGATCCTAGTGGATTCTGCAGTCGGCAATGTTTATACAGTCAATATAGGGTTAAGGTCCTTTAGCTTTTCCTCTTATAGTCCAGGTGAATAACTACAGTATAGTCTGAACTTTGGATGGCAACAGTGGAAATGGAAACAGGTTTGAGAAATATATATGAGATACACCGGACGGACATGGTGATAAAGCGATGCCAGGGAAGAGGTATCAAGAATAAGTGAGGTTTTTGCCTCGTGCTACTATGTAAGGGTGGCATCGCATATAGTTAGAGAAGGAACACTGGGACAAGAGTAGGTTTGGGGGCGAGATCACGTATACAGCTAGAAACGTTGAGTTCATAGAGCCTCAGAAACATCTCATGTAGAAATGTCAAGTAGGTACGTGGATACACTAACTGGTGCCAGAGCTAAGATAAGAGGTCTGTACTAGAAATGTAAGTTGAACAATCATTGGCATATAAATGGCAATAGATGCCATGGGAATCACTATGACTATTTTGGATGGTATTTTTGCTGGAACAAGAAACAAAATGAGTAAGCTCAAGGAAAATCAGGAGAGTGTGTTTCTTCTCAGACCTAGCAGAAAAGAGTGCTTCAAGAGGAAGAGGATAATCACCTGTGTCAAATGTTGCTGAAAAGTAAGAAAAGGAATGGAAAGCATGGTTGCTTACCCTACTATAGCACAGATCTCACTGTTGCTATCATTTTCTATTTAAATATCTCAGCCACAGACTATAAATGTGTACATAGAAAGGATGATGTCTTTTCCATCTTTATATACCCAGCACATCTGTTACACAGGAGGTTCACGCTAAATATTATAAGTATCCAAATAGCCCTGTTGTTCATTTAGTGATTTAACACACATTCACTGGGAGCCAATCAAGTGTCAAGATACTCTGCCAGAGGATGGATATGGAAAATGAATTAAGACACTGTTTACTTCATTGGTATCTCTGTGCTTCTTCCATCCATCTAACCAACCAACCCACCCACCCACCCGCTCTTTTTATTAGTGTATTTATCATAAGTATAATCACTATTTGTTTATATACCAGCTCCTCTTCAAGTCTATGAACCCCTTGAGTCCTACCTTAATCATCTTTGTACCCCTGTACGTAATACAATAGTATATAATTTTCAGCACTTAATACAGTTGTAGCTTTTCCCTTAAATGTGCTTATGTAGTCTAATGAGATGGAACAACGTGTTAATGAACACAGTAACGTGTACTAAATACTACAACAGACATGTGCACATAGGGCAACAGCTGGACAGGGAATATACCTAATGCTGTCTAGGGGGAAGGATTCAAAGAAGGAAATGCTTGCACTGAGTTCTTGGTGGATAATAAGAATTTGCCAGGCAGACAGGGTAAAGAAGAGGTAATGGCCTGGACCAAAGTATGAAGCTCTAGAATAGCATGCTACATCCAAGGAAGAGCAAGTAGCTTCATACTGCTGGAACAGAGGGTACATTTGGGGAACAGGCAGGAGATGAGGCTCAAATGCACAAGAGAGGGGTTATATCATCAAAAGGCTTAGGATACAATGGTAAGTTTGACTTTTAGACTATAGACTACCGGAAACCAGTATACAGTTGTAAATCTGGCTAAAGCTGACCTCATTCCACATAAGGTCGACTTACAATTTTTAGCAAATAACTTCTATATACTATTTAGCTGTTACGTGTATACCTACATGTAAAGGTCTATCCGTACAACTGCTTTGTAAAGAAAAACCAGGTATCATGATAGGAGGACAGCAGGCCTGAACCAATTATTATAATTACAGATAAATGCCATTAATTATAACATTTTGAGCTATTCAAGTTTCATTAAAATTAGCCATGAAACCAAGGAATATGTATGGAAACTTTATGTGCCCAATTTTTAACAGTGAAATAGAAAGCATAGGTCAAATTAATAACTTTAATAAATCTATTGCTAAGTGTTTCTTCTAGGAAGTTTAGGTTCTGTTCCAAGGCAATGTGCCTCACTGTCATCCCCGAATGGCACGAAGTTCTAGAAGAAAAGAATGTAACTCACTTCATTTAGTCTTCTCTGCAGATCTTTGACTTGATGTGAATATTCTTCCAAAACACGTTCAATGTGTTCCTTTCCAGGGTAAGGGATAACTTTTCTAGGAGAATCAAGCTCCACTTCATATTTGGGGAAAAAAGGAATCTGTGTCAATGTCCCAGCTGAAGATGTGTTTTCAATTATTGTACCACGAATAGACGACATAAAAAATGGACTTGAAGAACCTAGATATTAAAGAATTCATCAATCAACTTAGTAATAAAACAATTTTACGGCAAACATCATCCCAGGTGATCTCCTTAGTGAACACTCAAGGGGCTCAAGGTCTCATGGCAGAAAATAGACAAGTAAAAGATTGGTAACAGCTCTAAGAGGACACAAGGTAAAAAGGAAGAGATCAGGGAGGAGGAGGGAGTTTTACTTGATAGCGATCAAGTGATACCTGAGCTTGAACGAGCCTTGCGGTATATTAAGGAGAAGAGGAAAGGCATTGTGGCAGTGGGAACACCACAGTTACTGGTGAGGAGGCTTGAGACAGCACTGCGTATTCCAGGTGACAGGAAAGTAGCAGCCAGATATGAGAACTAAAACATAGTCCAGATCGTGAAGGGCCTCGTGGTCACGACAAGGAGTTTGAATTTCATCTCAAAAGCTTTGGGAAGTTATTAACGGATTTGAAAGTGAGAGAACAGTTAACTACGTCCGTAGTTTGAAAAGGCTCTCCGGCTTCAGCGCGGAGAATGCACTGCATGGAGATAAGCTGAAGGTAGAGAATCAAGTCCGAGAAGGCCTTCCAACAATGCCGGCAAGAAATGGCAAGGGTCTACCCTGAAGTGGAGACTGTGGTCACAGACACCAGGGTGTGGATTTGAGAAATACATGCGGTAAGTAAAAGACAGAGAGGTGTCAAAGATCTCTCTTGGGGTTTGAGCTTCAACATCAAGTAACGCTGTTTGATTTGTGCAGTTCAGGAGTATGATGTGCTTTACAGATAAGGATTTGGGAGTCATCGGCATCTGAATTCTAGTGAATCCTTGGAGTCAATGGGATCATCCAGGGGCAGGTGTACAGAGTGAAAACAGAAGAGGATCCAGGAGAAAATACCAATATTGAAAGAGAAGATGAAGGAAGTAAAATCTGGGAAGGTTCACAGAAGACCCACAAAGATATTAGAGAATTATATTCAAGAAACACCACGGGTTTTGACTGAGTGACAGAGAGAGTGTGAGATGAAAAGAGGCCTCCCCATAAGCAGGCCGAGAACCCCCCCAGCTGAATACATATACTACCTTTCACGTAAAAGGAAGGAGGTCTCAAAGTCAGACCCAAGAGTACAGAGGATGGTGTCAAGACCCACGGAGAAGTATTCTCAGGCCTGAGTCCTCATGAGGGGATGGTCAACCTGTGCTCAGCTAGATTTCAGAATTGAGACGGACTGTGTGCCTGTTTACCCCATTTGGGATGGTTGTGTTGAAAGAGGTTATCCTATGCCTGCCTGCCACTGTATGTTGGCTGTCACAGGTCTTCAGACGAAAAAGAACTAAGGAGTTGTACTTAAGGACTTACAACTGAGGAGCTTTATCCATACCTGAATCTAATTTCAGTGAAGGGATTCTGGTCTCAGGGTGCCTAGGTGGCTCAGTGGGTTAAGGTCCCGCTCTTGATTTCTGCTCAGGTCATGGTCTCATGTTTGTGAGAAGGAGTCCTGTATCGGGCTCTGCACTGAGAGTGGAGCCTGCTTAAGATTCTCTCTCCTTCTCCTTCTGGCCCTCCCCACCCACCCACCCCCCCCAGATTAAAAAATAAAAATAAAAAGAGATTCTGGCCTCTGAGTGGATGCTATAATGGGATGAGACTGTTAGGGGCCTTCTTGGGAGAGAGTGAATGAACTATGCATGTGAGAGAAATGTAAATAATTTGTGACCATAGGGCAAACTGTGGTGTTTTGAAAATATGTCCATAAGTTCTTTGATACTCCTCCCTTGAATAGGTAGAGGTTAATTACCCTCCTCTTTGTAAGAAAGGAAAAATAAGAGTGTATGTGTTAAGCACATGCACATATCTGTGGGGGGGGGGTAGGGCAATTGCTTACTTTTGCAAAAGGACCACTGGAAGAATAAAACAAACTCAAGAAAATGGTTATAGGGGTATAGAGATAGGTGGAAATGGAGTGGAAGGAATAGGGATGGCAGCTAGACTTGACTGAATATACATTTTCATACAGTTTTTACTTTTGAGCCATACACGTTATCCGTATTCAAAAAATAAGCAAAAGTGAATACTAATAGAAACAAATAAACCTAAGTGTACGGTAAGTTGATAACATAACTTCACACAGAAAGTAGTTCCTTCAAATAACTTTAGGACTCTGTTAGCGCTCTGACCGTGTGGCCTTAGCGAGCTTCACTTGGCAGGTAAGTTGCGAATGGCGGCAGCGCTGTTGTAATTCTGGAACTATTTGGTATGTACTGTGGAAGAGAGAAAATGACTGAGTATACTGAAGGTTTTGGACACTAGAGTTTTCATGCAGGGGAGTTGCAGATTTGGAATGAGGGAAGATGAGGAACTCCGTGGTACTGGATTTGATTTTGCGTTTGTAAGCCATGTGAACTTATTAAAAAAATCTATTTTGAAACTTTATCCACTGAATGCTCCCAGACAAAGTGATACTTCAGTAGCAATATGCGCACCAGATTTTGGATTCTATATACTCCTCCCTACTAAAAGGACCCAGGGCTCCTTAGAGAAATGGCTCATTTGTAGGGAACAGGCCAAGTACATTTGAGAGTCTGGAACATTTGGATGGGCCAGAAAGCAATGAAGGGGGTCATGTTTTAAAAAGACACAGGGATGTGTAATTCTGCATTATTTTACTTAGAGCCTCTGAATTGGAATAACATATAATTGTTTATTTAAAAAATTAAAAAAAATAAAAAGACACAGGACCTAGCTTAAAAGGACTGGCTAAATGTGATACAACTGAGCATCAGAAACAACAGTGGCACCGATGCATTCTAGCACTTTGAACTAAAGAACACTCTGTGGATCTGTAGTGTTAATAATTAAAGGAAAGCTCTTCTTTCCTGAAGGATGTCAGCTAGTAACTATGGTAAAATTAGAAAATCAACAATGTAATAATTGATTCAGGCAAGGATCTTCAATTGATCCTAAAACCATTGGATACAAAGCTATTTAGTACCAGGATATTCACAAACTCTTGCCAAGTGAGTTTAATCTTTATCTAAACATGAGAAACAATCAGAAAGATCTAGAATGTTGAATATTCTACAATACAACTAGACTCTTAAAGCCAATGCCAGCAGAAACAACAAAGGAGCAAGAATGAAGAGAACCACCACCATACAATCCATGATCTCTGATTACATTTAAAAAAAACCCAAAAACTAATGAAAGCTTTTTATAGGGACAACTGGCTGAATTTTGATTTTTAATTTTTTTTTTCACGTTTAATTATTTTTGAGATAGAGAGACAGAGCGTGAGCAGGGGAGGGGCAGAGAGAGAGATGGAGACACAGAATCTGAAGCAGGCTCCAGGCTCCAAGCTGTCAGCACAGAGCCTGACACGGGGCTCAAACTCACGAACCCTGAGATCATGACCTGAGCCGAAGTCTGACATTTAATTGACCGAGCCACCCAAGTGCCCCTGGGTGAATTTTAATATGAATGCATATCAGATGACACTGCACTGATAGTAAATTTCTCAGAAATGATAATGTGGCAATGTAGGAAATCATCCTTATTCTAAGGAGATGCATGTCAGATTTTGAGGCAAGAATCATGATGTCTTCAACTTCAGGTAAATGAAATACAAATTGTAGGTATAGACATAAAGCAAATACAATAAAATGTTGACAACTGCTGCATCCAGTCTAAGAATATATAAAGTATTCAATGTACTATTTTTCAATTTTTCAACAACTTAAAAAATTTCAAAACAAAATGTTGGGGTGGGGGAAGAAGTCACTGAACTTAGCAAAAAAGGGAAAATTTAGTCATGTTGGCCAGAGTGGTTTCATTGGATTATTAGGTTCAAAAGTCATAAGGCAGTAGTTTGCAGAATGAATGGATGGTGAAGATGTGAAGACACTGAATACAAATCTTCATTTAGAAGCCATGGCTAAGAAGGAAAGAAGAAATAAAGGAGGACAGATCAAGGAAAAGGTTTTATTTTTTGTTGTCCTGGTTTGTTGCATCTGTAGCATTTTAGGTTGGGAGAGATGTAGCATGTTTACGTGGATGGGTGAGTGCAAATGGCGAAAAGGGACTGAAGCTAGCCGAGTGAGGGGGGACAGTTTTTGGCAAATCTCTGAGGCAGATGACGTGGTGACAGGCACAGGAATTACATCACGGGTAGCAAATTAAAAAGCTGCCTCCTCCATGGAGCTTTGAGAGAAGGCAGGCATGGATTATGAAAAACAGTGGGTCGTGGGGCAGGATATGAGAAAGTAAGAGAGTACCAGCCTAAGGGCTCCTAATGTCTCTGGAAATTAGGAAGTGATGCTGAGAGTGAACAAGAAGGTGGTGGGGTGAGGGACCCAAGAATGGTACAATCCTGAAATAAGTAGTGTGGGAAATTGGAGAGAGAACTGCCTGAGATAGTGAGAAAGTCTCCACTAGCAGCATCAAGGACAGAGTTGAGAGAGGGATGACTGTGACTGTGAGGTGGCAAACTGGTAGAAAATCCACCATTTGTGTTTTCTCTCGCAGAATATTCCAGCAGCCCAGTACAAAAACGGAAAAGGCAGTCAGCCTGATAAAGATGGGGAGTTTCCTGTAAGAGTGCAACAGAAGAGTAAGAGAAAAAGGAAGTTGAAGAGACAGGCAAGTGATGGGCTGAAATAATGAATAGTACCAAAAAAAAAAAAAAAGTGAGGATAGGAAGAGGTTGGTAATTTAGGAGAAAATGGGAGAATCTAGAGTAGTTATTTGCAATACTTGCTGGGAATTAGCATCACCAGGGGAGCTTAAAAAAAAAAAAATCTGTGGCATCTAAGCGCCATTCCAGACCTACTGAATCAGAATCTGCGGGTGTAGATCTAAGCCATGTAAATGTTTAAAATCTCAAAAAATGAGTCTGGCATGGAGCCATGGTTGAGAACCACTATTTTCATGAGGCAGAAAAATAGATGCTCTAGGAATAAGGGACCGAGAGGGCTGGAAGACAGGGGGTTGGGTTTCAGAAGCCTAACAGCTCTTGGTAATCAGATCCAAGTAAGACAAGTGGGTGGCTAAAGGTCAAGATGAGAAGAACTAAAAAGGTCAAGAAACTGGAAGTCTAAGATCTCAGATGGGTCCACATGAGGACAACAATACTATGGGATGATGATGGGCCCAAGGCAGAGGAGATGACCCCAGACCTAAGTGCCGGTGTCCCTGGGGAGTACAAGGCAGAGTATAAGTGTGGAGGTGAGTGCATGGAAGTGGGCAGGGGAGATGGGAACAGCGGTGTGGAGGTGACAGTGACATCTTAGGATGGCATGAGCATCCTAAAAAGCAGAGACTTTTGCAAATTAAGTGTGCTGAAATAAAGGTTTTGAAGCAGACCAGTAAGACAACAGATCTGTAATTGAGAATAAACTCTGGGTGTATTCTTCTGGATGAGAGACAGGCAGGGAAAGCGGTCAAGGATGCTACAGGCCATTGGCCTGACAGCCAGAAAACCCATTCTCTGTCCTTCTCCTATTCTGCTGTGTGGTGCAGAGAACTACTCTTCCCAGGCTCCCTTCCCCCCTGAAGTCTAGGGAGGTCACAGTGGGTGGTGCTGGTGAAAGATCTGGGGCAGGAGTGGGGGAGAAGCTGAGTACCACTCCCTCTCACCAGCCTCAGTGGCTTCCTGCTGGGAGTGGTGGCTGCTGGTCCCTCCAGGCAGCCCTCGTTCGGCCTTTGCAACAGTTCCTCTTCTCATTGTCCTTTTAGCCCAAGGCTGGTAGTGGCTTCCTGCAGCTGCTCATCTCTGGGTTGCCCTCTTCCCCAGTGAGGCTTCTCAGCTCTTTCAATACTAGAGTTACCGATTCCCTGCAACGTTCCACATATTCATGCCACCTCTTTGTTTTCCTGAAGGCCATCCTTTCACTGAAATCAGTTCAGGCAGAGGTGAGGGGGCCCTGAACTAGAACAGCAGTAATGGCAGCGGAGAGGGAAAAATGGACTCATGAGCCACTGCTGGGACTAGAAAGAGCATACCCGAGGGGATGGAGGTAGAGAGGGAAAAGGAGTCAAAATGATACAGATATCTGGCTTAGAGCAGACAGGGGAAGAAAAGGTGTTAGGAAAACATGGAAACAATTTTTAAACTAAAAATGTAAGGTACACAGATGTTAAAAAACAGATATGCTATTTTTAAAAGACTAAACAATTTCTTCCCTAAAAAGTAGAATTTTCAACAATACAGTATGTTTGTTTGTTACAACCCTGCAGCCTGAATGAATACTATGAGGACTGCTTAATTCCAATTCGTTCCCCATTTTGTCTGATAAAGAATACTTACCTCCGTTGGATGTGACGCCACTACTTGATAAAAGATCTTCATTATTTGGTTCACCAGCTTTTTGTTCCATATTAACTATTGCTACCTTTTCGTTGAGATCTTGAAATATGAGTGCTTCCCTGTTTGTTTTTTTTAGTTCTTATCTATAAAAGACAGGCATTTGATCTTTATTAATAAGGTATTATGAGAACAAAATTCATAGAAGGGGAGCTAACAAAGTCTGTTTAGTTTAGTTTGGAATAACTCTTCACCAGAAAAGTATTTATACAGAAATATTTTATTACATAAAATTAGTAAGTGAATAGAATCTTGTTGTAAAAACTGTTCCTTTTAATGGCTAAGTAGCTTATTAAAGATAAGCTGAAAATCAAACATGAATATTTTAATTGTTAGGATGATCAGCACTCTGATTCAGGGCAGAGTTTTTTCTTAAGTCTCTCTCTTACATTGTCAAATAATGTTAGAAAACATCTCTTTAGTAAAAAGTCACAAATTAGTTAAAAAAAATCACAAATCAGCAAATTGGAAATCATTAATAAAAGGTGAAAAACTTCTTTAATATCAAACAATGCTCATAATTTTAGATTAGGCCAAGAGGACTTCGGGGTTTGGAGAACAATGGTGGTGGCCTGATTCCAAATCTCGCCCTTATCCTGCGAAAACAACTATAAAATCAACAAGGAGAACAAATAAAGAAAAGCACATGGGCTCTATGCCTTCAGCATCTCTAGAATACAGAGAATACTGCAACCTTCAAGTTAACAGGGGGAGATTTTTTTCCAAACTTGCTCCCACAGTCCATCTGCCAGCGCCGCGGGCCTGTAGGTGTGGAGAATGGGAGAGGAGAGGCTGAAAAATGGAAAAGGAGCAGAGGGCTGGAGGAAGCACAGACCTCCCCCACAACCCAGAAGTGAACAGGAAAAGCCAAGATGGTAGGCACAGGTTGCGACTAGGTAGTCCACAGCCCCGGCTACTCAGTAATGGCTTGAAAGTGTGCAGGGGCCAGAAGTAGCAGCCTCAGAGAAGCAGTGTTTCTGGGGAAGAAGAGGTGATCTCCCCAGCAGATACGGCCACAGAGGGAAAGGAGGGAAAATTCAGGCACCAGCAGAAACAAACAAAAACAAGATATGCCTACCCTTCGTCTACCCCTCCCGCTCCACCACCACCATGCTTAACAGAAACTGCCTGGAAGAGGGCACTCTCAAACTAAGAATCCTGCCCATAAAATGAATAGGGATAGATAAAAGCAGACCACACCCATACAAAACTATTATAAAACGTCAGAAAATATGAATAAGATCTTTTCTGCTGATGAGAAGTGCCCCCACTCCGACAGTCATAGTCGAAGAAAACTAACACACAACACACCTTCAAACTGCACTAAGTATTCTCAATCATTGGAGGAAATGAAAAATCAGATCACAGGGATGCCTGGGTGGCTTAGTCAGTTAAGTGGCCAACTCTTGACTTCAGCTCAGGTCATGATCTCACGATTCGTGAGTTTGTGCCCTGCACCAGGCTCTGTGCTCAGTGTGAAGCCTGTTTGGGATTCTCTCTCCTCCTCTCTTTCTGCCCCTCCCCTGCTCTCTCTCTCTCTCTCTCTCAAAAAAAAAAAAAAAAAAAAAAAAAAAAAAAAAAAAAAAAAAAAGTTAAAAAAAAAGAAAGAAAAAGAAAAATCAGATCACAATTAGATTTACATTTCTGAATCAGAAATGTAAAACCTAGGAACAGAAATGGACAAGAAACACATAAAACAAGCAAGCAAACAAACAAGAAGGAATGAAATGAGGGTTGGATGAAGTCAGGAAAGAAACGTGAGAAAAACACTATATTATATCATGAATGAAGCCCAAATTACAGACTACACAAGGGAGGATAGACTGCAATGCAAGCTTAACAAAGGCAATGAAGAAAATTAGGAAAACAGAAGATGAAAACTGAGATAAACAAGTAAAAAGGATGAGAGAGGAAGTGAATGGAAGACTGGCAAAGGAGGTTGAAGATAATTGGTGACCCTGAAGAAAAAAAAAATCAAAACAATGAAACAGATCTATTATTTAAAACTATAATCCAAGAAAGTTTCCTAGAAACAAAGAAAGCTCTCTGAGTCTATACATTTTCGCACTAGGGAATATCGACCAAGAATGATCAACTTTAAAACGTATCCTAATGAAACTATATTTTTAAAAAACCCCAAAACTGTATTAAGACTTTAAAGATGAAAAAGTCCTCAGGGCCTTCAGGCAAAAAAAAGAGAAGAAATAATTTACAAAGGCAATAGGCCTACAATGGCATCAGGTTATTCAAAAATAAGATACAAAGCAAGGCAGTAGTACAGCAGGATTTTAAAGAAATGCAAGGAATGAAACTACAAACTGAGGATACTATATCCAGCCAAGATTTTCCAAAGAGTCAAAGCCATAGGAAAACAGTTTTGAATGTGCCAGAGCACTGTATACATGCAACATACACACAGATTCTGAGGAATCTGCTAGAGGTGAGGCTTCATCCAACCGAAAGACAGCTGGCAAATGTGGCAACGTGTTAACAACTGGTGAAAATCTTTTGGGTTTTCTGTAAGCTTTACATTTTTCAAAATAAAATCTGGAAAAAAAGGGAAAGATGAACATTAAAAAAAAAAAAAAACATGACTGGGGATATTGTGCAAGAGATGTGATGGGGAACATGAACTATTCAGCTCGTAAGGTTGAGACCAAAACATAGGTGGAGTAATGGCACTGAGGATAATACATAAATATCACATGTGTGAAAAAGGAGGACAAATGTAACTCAAAATGGGAAGATATGAGATAGAAAAGGGGAAAGTAGAAGACCACTGGTTGTCAAAAGATATCATTTAAGACTGACAGGAAGGAAACAGTAAGAAGAAAAGGGCTCTATAGGTATACTATTAAAAGTATTAATGCAAAGGTAACCACCAGAATAAAAATACAAACCTTAAGTGACAAAAAATTTTTTTAAGAAAAAGAAAAAAAACATCGAACAGAGTATCATACGTACAGTAATTATAACACCAGAAGATAATGTAAGAATAATGTCACAGAACGTAGGCCAAACATAAAAGTCATGTCAATAAACATGATGGGACTTAACTTGCCTATTCAAAGGGAAGGACTGTCAAATTAGTTCTTCAAAATTTCGACTCTATGCTCTATACAAGAGGACACTTAAATACACTGATTCAAAAAGACTGCTAATAAAGTGATGGACAAAGATTTGCCAGTGAATAAAAACAATAAGAAAGCATCAGTCAATATCCTGATACCAGTAGTCTGCAAGCTAGAGCATTAAATAATGACAAGGGCACTTAGCATTAGAAGTCACGATCCACAATAAAGATAGAATACTTCTGACTCTATGTACCACATAACGCAGCACCCTCTTAGATAAAACATGCTTTATAGGAGGTACAATAAGAACCAGAAGCACAGTGATGATGTGGTGTTAGTAGGCCACTCAGTATGAGACAGGTCACACCGATAAAAAAATAAGGATAGAAAAGATTTAGATGAGGTTATTACTAAGGTAGACTTTTTCGATATATATCCAACACGACACTTTGATAAGAGAATATACCTTCCTCTCAAGTGCACATGGAAGGAACATTGACAAAAACCAAGCACATTCTAGGGCACAAGTAACAGATCAGCAGGTTCCACAAAGTAGAAACGTTACAAACAACACCCTCTGCTCACAAGTTCATAAAACTAAAAACGAAAAGTGAAACCGCAAAGCAAAGAGGCCTTTCCTCCTGGAAATGAGAAGACCTCCTATTAAATAACTGTTCTGTGATAAAGAAAATATAAAGGAAAATGAAAGAATTTCCGAAAAATGACAATGAACACACTACCAGGAGAACTGGAGATACAGTAAAGCAGTGAAAAAAAGGAAAATTTGACTTTGAGCACCTGGTCTCAACAAAAAAGAGAGAATGACACTAAGTGAACTAAATTTCTAATACAAAAAGAAGAAAAGTAAGACTAAAGAAAGCACAGGGTGGGAAATAATAAAGATACAAACAGAAATTAATGAGGCAGAAAACAGAAAAACAATAAATCAAATTAATGAATCAGAATCCTGATTCTCTTTAAAAAAACAAACAGAAACAAAATATAGGCAAGGACTATCAGAGTGATGGAAAGAGGAAGGTCACATATAACATAGCGCTTATCATTTTTACAATAATTCATGATTGCAAGTACAGTATTAAACATTTTTTAAAACTGTGAACTAAAGAATTTTTATGGAACAGAATTCCTTTTTATTTCACTCACAGTTTCTCCCTTTTGATTACTGAGGCGCCATCTGTCAACACTACGGTCAGATAAATTCTACTGTGTGTTTCATACTACCATGTTTAGCAAATAGGCAGTAGGGAGGGAGACATTCCATAAAGAATGATAACAAATGGAATCTTAGTCCAGATTGCTAGGCAATTCGAATGTTCTGAATAGGAGAGATTGGTACGTGGGGGAGGAATGATTGCTGTATAACTTATATACTAAAATGATGCACTTGGGGATTCTTCAGGATGATGAAAGACACTAAGGAAATTCAAATTACTCAGTAATGTTATGATTATAAATTACTGATTGATCAAAGACAGAAAGGAATGAGTAGGACAGAGAGACTCATAGCCCAGTGTTGGGAAGTCACACACCGCTCCACTCTTCTAGACACCAAAAGTTTTGGTATCAAGCAGGAAACAGAACCTATGAGTAAGGTAAGCAGAACTGAACCTAAAAGTTGGAGAACACATAAGAAAGGAGAAGGTTTGACTTTAGAAACTATTCTGATATAAAAACCAAGTTTCCTGATTCTGGGTAGGGTGATGAATGTCATAAACTCATTAATTCAGTCTCCCCTGATGGGCAGCAGGCCTTCGAAGAGTGGCAGTCCTTCCGAGGGAAATTTTTTTCTTAAGAGAATAAACAGCTTAAAAAAGAAAAGAAGATTGGGGTGCCTGGGTGGCTCAGGCGGTTGAGCGTCGACTTGAGCTCAGGTCATGATCTCATGGTTTGTGAGTTTGAGCCCCGAGTCAGGCTCTGTGCTGACAGCTTGGAGCCTGGAGCCTGCTTCCGATTCTATATCTCCCTCTCTCTCTGCCCCTCCCCCGCTTGTGCTCTCTCTCTGTCTCTAAAAAATGAATAAATGTGAAAAAAAAAAGGAAATTAATAGTTTAAAGAAGACAGCATAGGTTTATTAAACAAGGATTTTTAAACAAACATTTGTAAAGATATTTAGTACACCCATTCGCCAATGCTGCTAGTTAAAGAAATCTGTCTTTAAAAAAAAAGATTTAAAAAAAAAAAAATCTGTATTTGTAAAAAAAAAAAAAAAAAAAAAAAAAAAAAAAAAGGTATTTGTAATTCACATTTTCACAATTTTAGATTGACCATATCCTCAATTCGGTGAAATCATTCAGTGTTTCTCTATTTTCACGACACTAAGAATTGAAACATTATTCCTATTTTCAGGCATAAAGCTTATTAAATTATTAAGGATTTCTGGGAAAATAAAGGGTTTTTTTTTTGCCACAATAAGACAGAAAGTTGTTAAAATGCTACATTTTGTTGATTTGGGGATCATAACACGACCTTACATGTTACAAACAATTCTGGCGGATTTAAAATTATGAATAGGTTCACACTGAAAGGAGCCTTAAATTTCTGACAAGTAACAGCTAGGTAAAGATTCCACTCTGGTTATTTGATTGGAATGCTGCAGAAAAGGCTTGAGACACCACAGACCACAAAAAGAAGACTTTTGAAGGACTCCTAGATTTATCAACCAATGACTCAAGCCCCTGGGAGGCCGAACCATCCTACTTTCCACAGAAGCCTGAGACTGGGGATCTTATAAAGCTGGTCCATACTCTCGAAGAATGAGTGTGTGCAGGTATGTTTTCCTTGGGAAATTCTAAGGCACCCCACAACTGATCCAAATACAACACACCTAGGCTGGTGCCATCTCTGAAATGCAACAGAGAACAGTTACTGTTGACCACAACTTCACTGCCTGATTTCCTGTTAACTGCTTATTGACTTCACATTGCTCTTAATGTCTGTTTTCCCAATCACATTCTTTCTCTCTAGATGTTGTTCCCTACTAGGTTTCAAATCCTATCTCTGTGATCTACTGGCTTTGTGACTGTGAGAACAGTATTTAGCCTCTTTAAGACTATAAGAAGAAGATAGAGAGTATATACCTCAAAAGAAAACTCGTGTGCAGTGTTAACCATACAGTACTTGCCTCGATCTGTTTGCTATATACCATATGTATATAGTATCACTGCATAACAGGATAGTAAAACATGAACAAAAACACAGTCTTTGTAATTTAGGCAGTGTATACTCACTTTCTGATAATAAATGTGTATCTTTCCATTCATCTAGAAAGAAGATATAAGTTTCATACAGGTCCACTAACAGAAAGGAAAGTAGATTTATATTGCATTGAGTAAACCCAGAGACTATTATAATCTAATACAGAATGAAGCTATTTAAGATATCCTTCACTAGTACATAATACCGTCTTGTAAAAAGGCAATATGAAAGAAGCATAGGATTTAGAATTAGGAACTTAATACTGCCACTGGTTACCCGTGAGGGCATGGGCAAATCTTTTCATATCCTTGGGCCTCAATTTCCACCATTACTAAATGAGAATACAGTTGTGTTTTGTAAACTATTCTTAAGCAGAGGAAGGCTTTCTGTAAATCTTCAGAGCCCCAACTATACACCCTCCTCTCTGCCCCAGAGACATCTTTATGGAATGCAATGGCTCCACTGAGCAGAGTTTGAAAACCACAAAAAGAAAGCCTTTGTAGCTTTATTATCTTAGAGATTCCAGCCTAGGCATTCATCAAGTTCAAGGCCTCAGGCTCTAAAATAAATTAGATACAGACACAGATACAATAAATTAGCATATTGGTCATATATGTTCACAATTCTTAAATATAAATGAAAGTAAAACAAGAGATACCTTAATATCTGGATATTCTTATTTTCACTTATCCTATTAACACCTGAAAAGAAGAAAATATTTTAAAATCTGTATATTAATATATAACCATACTCCATTATCTAAATTCATTGTTTGAAAAGTTCAATTCACAAGTTCATTTTCATCAGCTAAGATCCTGACAACAACACACACGCATATAACCACCACCACCACCACAAAAAACTTTAAATTCCTTTTCCTTTGGGCTTGTCTTGTATATAAAAGTATGTTTGAATTAATAGCTTGTGGCACTTATCTAGGCTAGGACTGTACAACAAAACATACGCAAGTATAAGCCCCCTGTTGGTCCGATGCTAATTTTGCTCTCATCGGCATTATCAAGATGACACAGCAAGTAAATCCCTTGCCCAGGCCTTTCCAGACTAGACCTTTCTACGGTATAGTCCAAAGTGACTTAAATAGACCATGTCTTCTGACCATTTAAATTACTTTCCAGTGGCTGGAGATGCTCTGAACCAGGCACAGCTCTTGAGCTTGGAGAGCAGATTTGCGAGGTAGAGTTTCTACCTGGTCAATCAGAAATAGGTCTATACATTTTAAGCAGCGGAGTTGAAATGACAACCAACTAGGATTTTTGGCATAGCTCAGTGAAATCTTAGTGAGTAGTTGCCACAGTGGAAAAATAAGTGACAGTACTCCATGTGCAGAATTAGGACTAATGAACAGAAGTAAAGGGAGGTAGGTTCTACAGGGTGGAGATGAGCTTTCTAAAGCCGGAGCACCTTGAATGTATATGCGGAGAACTTCCTTGTGAGGTGTTCAAGCTGAGAGGGGATGAGCATTTGTTGGGATGACAACTGCCACCGGGTGTCCTCTCTTGGGCAGAGAGTTGGACTAGAAGATCTCTAAAATCTTCTCCAACTTGGACATTCTATGATTTCCTATGGAAAACATTCAGCAGACAGATGACCAAAAATATGATGACTTCTCACAGGTGATTTCAGTCAACAGCAGAGCCAGATCGGGACAATGATCGGGACAATTCCGCTGCTGCCAGGAGGTTTCGTGCGACTTTGTTTTAAAAGTTGGGGCTCTAGGTAAATTTTAACGAATATCTTTTCCTTAGCACCTCTGCATATATGTTTACAGTCACCTTAAATTCATCTTATCCCACATCTATGTCTTCATTATTCCCACCAAATCTGCTTCCTAGGGTGTTATCTCTGTAATACCTTTTAAGTCAGCAAAGATGACTTACTTATGCGTGGTAATTAAGTCACAAAGAAGGACTGCTTGAATATGAAATTTAGTTAATTTTACGCCTACTGTGTCTTTCATGCTTTAATCAGCTCTTGCCAGACCTACTACAGAATACTTCAAAGTGATCTTTCTAGTGTCAGTTTCTTACAATCTTTAAGAGTTTCCTTTAAAACCCTTTTGCTGGGGCGCCTGGGTGGCGCAGTCGGTTAAGCGTCCGACTTCAGCCAGGTCACAATCTCGCGGTCCGTGAGTTCGAGCCCCGCGTCGGGCTCTGGGCTGATGGCTCGGAGCCTGGAGCCTGTTTCCGATTCTGTGTCTCTCTCTCTGCCCCTCCCCCGTTCATGCTCTGTCTCTCTCTGTCCCAAAAAAATAAATAAATGTTAAAAAAAAATAAAAAAAAAAAAAATAAAACCCTTTTGCTGTGACTTGCTCAAAGACTAAAGTCCAAGCTAAGACTAGCACAAAAGCCCTTTGGGATCTGGCATAACCAACCTCCCCTGACATATACTGTGCCTCAGCTGAGGTCTACCTGCCATGTCCTGAGTGCATCCTACTCTTTTAGCATTCTGCTTTTATTTACACTCTTCTTTTAGTTCTTCCTCTCCTTCTTAGCAAAAGCCTCCAGTGCAGTTTTAAGAGCTGTGGAAGAGGTTCAATACTATATTGCTGGTTGATGCAGTCCCTACAAATCAATGTTCAATAATAAGAGAAAGAAAACTGCCCAGTGCCTCTGAAAAAAAATAATTTGATATGAGGGACTATATTTGGAGGACATGCTCTCCTTACTCTTCCCACATCAAAAGTAATAAGCTTCAGTTAAATCATTCATGCATGCAAAGCACTCAGCACACGGCCTGACGTAGTAAGCATTCAACAAGCATTAGTTACCATTGCTGGCATTTTGATGGCTTAAAACGTACTGCTGCTATGAACAGTGCTTCTGTAAATCCTAGAGATAAAACGAAGATCAAGACGAATCAAACTGCCACCACCCCACAGATCTTAAACTTTAATGGGGAAAGAGACACCAAAGAAACACATCAAAAATAGAATTATGGAGAGCGGTTAAGTGCAATGAAGCAAATACCACAGGTGGCGGTATACAGAGAGATGGAATTGAGGCTACTTTCGTTAGGGTAAGTCAGGGAAGGCCTTTCTGAGGAGGTTACATTTGAGCTGAATATCAAAAAGGATCACTCCCAAAGAGAACTGGGTAAGTTCCGGAGAGGAAATACCACATGCAAAAGCCTTGAGATGAAAGGGGCTCAGCGTTCACCGAAAGAGGCAGTGAGGCTGCGGTGTGGACAAGGGAGGGTGAGAGGCCTGCTTATGGACAGCCGACTGTGTATCATGCCCAAAGGAGAGCTTATTCCCAGTTCCTTTCCGAAATTATCCGAGAAGGTGTTGGTGAGGTTCACAGGGGTAGAGCTCACAGGGCCTTGAAAAGGACTTTGGGGTTTTTTCTAATTGCAATGGAAAGCCACTGGAGGATTTTTATCAGAGGCATAGGATCCTCCAGAAGTCAGGTGAAAAATATACTGAGTGGAAGCCCAGGCCAGTTAGGATGCCATTTGAATAGCCCAACAGAAGGACTAAAACCTAACTCTAAACCTGGCTGAGGCTGGGAATGGGGACTGACTGCAAGTGGGTATGAAGGATCTTTTTTGGGTGATGGACATTTTCTAAAACTGAACTGTGATAGCTGCACCATTCTGTAAATTCACTAAAAAGCATTGGATTTGACACTTACAATGAGTGAATGTTATGGTATATAAATCATACCTCAGAAAAGCAGTTCAGAAAGAAAGCAGACCAGCTACCCTTTGTATGGACATTGTCCTTATGTTTTGTGGAGTAAGAGTTGGGGTGCAAATTAACTGCCTGGATCCCAGAAGTCAATCGATTAAACACTGAACACTGTTTTTTTCCTGAACACTGAACACTGTTCTGTTCCTACACCCTGTGAACTCCAAAGTATGTTAATTTCAAGATGACTACAGGTTGCTTTTATCCCGATTCTAACATCCCCACACATGGAAGCACTTCTGCATTGCCTACTTTCCCCAGGCTTGGACTTCAATCTCCAGGTGTCTGCAACTATTATTATTGTTGTTGTTGCTTTAGAAAAAGAGAGCACACGAGCCCAGGAGAGAGGCAGAGGGAGAGAGAGAATCCTAAACAGGCTCCACACTCAGAGCGGAGCCTGACGTGGGGCTCAGTCCCACAAGTGTGAGAACACGACCTGAGCTGAAATCAAGAGTCAGATGCTCAACCGACTGAGCCATGTGCAACTCTTACTTGATATACACACGATGAATAGCCAGTAAAGTATTAGCTGAAAACCAAGCTTAAGTCACCTTTATTCCCTTAACTAGAGCAAATACAGTGATGTATTAATAGGAATACAAATGAAAGTCCAAAAATTGCTCTAAGTGTTAGGCTAGTTCTTTCCAATGTACCTAAGTTATTTTCACTTCTTTTTTTTTTTTTTCAACGTTTATTTATTTTTGGGACAGAGAGAGACAGAGCATGAACGGGGGAGGGGCAGAGAGAGAGGGAGACACAGAATCGGAAACAGGCTCCAGGCTCTGAGCCATCAGCCCAGAGCCCGACGCGGGGCTCGAACTCACAGACCACGAGATCGTGACCTGGCTGAAGTCAGACGCTTAACCGACTGCGCCACCCAGGCGCCCCTCCAATGTACCTAAGTTATTTTCACTTCTGATCAAATTCCTTAGTCAAGTATTTTCCTTGGGATTTATAGGGTTCAAGAAAATACTTCGTAGTCTCCACTACTCCATCTGGCACTGCCCCAGCTGGAGGGCTTTAAAATATTCATTAATACAGGATTGATTCTATGTGATTTATAACAATGAACATAATGTATTAGTTTCCTGTAGTTGCTGTAACAAATTACCACAATCCTGGTGGCTTAAAACAATAGCTATTTATTCTCTCACGGTTCTGGAGGCCAGAAGTCCAAAATCAGTCTCACAGGGCTGAAATCAAGGTTGTTGGCAGGGCCGAGCTCTCACCCGAGGCTCTGGGAAATAATCTATTCCTTGCCCCTTCTATTCCTTGAGCTTCTGTTGGCTGCTGGCATTACTTACTGACTTGGGGCCTCATCACTCCGCTCTCTGCCTCTGTGGTCATATTGCACTCTCCTCTTCTGTCTGTATCAAATCTCCTTCTGCCCCTCTCTTATGATGACACTTGTGTTTGCATTTAAAGCTCACCCAGCTAATCCAGGATAATTTTCCCATTTCAAGATCTTTGACTTCATCATACATGTAAAGACCCTTTTTTTCCCCTTAGAACATTTACTGGTTCCAAGGATTAGGGCCTGATGTTTCAGGTGGTTCTTACTCAACCTGATACACCATATAATTTGGGGTCACCTAGTGTGTGAATATGTGGTTGACAGAGGCCCCAAAGTGCGTGATCCTAACACACTAGATAACACCGACTCTTCTTTGTAAAACACGATAGTAAGGGCTTTGCACATACCAAATAAATTGTCCATTTCTGCCCTCAATTTATTTGGAGAGTATAATACCTCTATGGCATAAAGACCATTTACCCACAACACATAACTGTGTAAAATGAAAAACAGTAAGTGTGGTATGGAGCTGGGAGGCCCAGATCTCACCCACCACTCTCCCACCCCCACCCCAATTCTTTACCCACAGAAAAACAGTCCTGCCTAGCTAGTCTCTGGGCTGTGTGGTAGGTGCTAGACCTTTCCTGAATCAGCAGCTGACAGAGAAAGCAAGAGAGAAGCGGTTGCCAAGTCAATAACACGCTGACAAACAGCAACAGACCTCACTTCTACTTTCTCCTGACCTTAAGGTACACCAAGATGCAGGGACAAATCCTGGAACAGCCCGAGTGCAGACCTGGAACAGAGTTCTGTGGACACGGATGGACTCATTTGAGAACTCACTGTTTCTGACTGATGCCAATGACCGGGTAGAGCCAGATTCCTAATGTCACTTACAGGGAGGGCTCCAGCTGAAAAGGCCCTTACACATTTATTACAATCTCATTTTGATGACAGGTTGGTGACTATCCAAGGCTAGACACTCCTCTTTATTTCCATGTGTCCCCTGACTCATCCCCTGGTCCACGGGAAACAGGATAGGGACAGGACTTTGCGGTAGTGTTGGGACAAGATCCGCGGTTATTCCCCCCCAGGTGGAATATTTTGCACAGGACTCTCTGGTGCCAGAGTTACAGCCACTGGACCCGGAGATCTTGCGATCCCCGAAGAGCAGAAGTCCTTTTCCGTTAAAAAAACCAATTTATTGGGCATCTGCCACGTGCAAAACAAACACAAAGGTCTGGAAGGTTCCAGTAATGAAGATGCGCTGCTCCGGGTCCTCTGGAGCACGACCCACCCCCTCGCCGCGCCCCGCCCGTGTACCTGCAACCAACACCATCTTAAGACATTGGCCGCATCCCCGCGGGGCGCCGGCGGGCGCGGCGGCCGCACCTGCGTCGGCCGGGCGGCTGCGGTGGCGGCGGGGGCGGCTCCTCGTCGTCGGCGGCAGCGCGGGTGCTCTGCCGCCCCGCCTCCGCGCCCCGCCCCTCGCGGCGCTCGGGATCTGGCCTCCGCCGGTTCCACGCGCGCCGCGCCGGCGACCGTTGGGCCCTTCGGCGTGGCGTGCGGGCACCTCCCACTCCCGACTCCGCCCCCAGACGCCGTCGCCGGGGCAACCGAGCGCCATTTCCGCCCCCCTCCCCTCAGCTCTGAGTAAGGGGTTGTTTGCATCAAACCCTGGGTTCGGGCCTCCACTTGGACTCTCTGTGACTCAAAGCTTCTCCCCTTTTCTGCAGCCCCTTAACCGGTCTCCCCGTCCTATTCTTGCTCTCCCCAGTACATGCACCCCAACACCCCAGACCGTTCTCGCAGTTGTCCCTCAAATAGTCTTCCCAAAGTCTTAACCAACCCACACAAATCCTACCTCTAACTTAATCCCAATCCTGGCTTGGCCTATCAGGCCTTCACCCTGCCTCACCTCCATCCTGCTTCAGTTTCTGACACTTTCTCCAGTCCCACCCTTAATGTCCCATTTGACTACTTCAAGTTAACAGAATTCACATTTCGCAGCTCTGCCTTTGCTTATGCTGATCCTCTGGCTGGAAGGACTTGCAATGTTCACGTGTGTTCTCGGAGAGTTGTTTCCTTCCCTGTGTTTCAGTTGCTCTCTGATAGAGAATTTATCGGATGAGATGATCACACACGCAAACGTTTCAGTGCTGCCCGAATTAGTGCTCAAATGGAAGGAATTCAGAAAGGGCTACGTGTGACCGATACAACCAGTGACATTAATACTGTTAGCAGTCACATTACACACACCTACAGCAAAAACCTTTTATGTCTAAATTGATTGGAAATATTAACAAATCATACATTATTTAATGTAATTATGGATTTTAATTAAATAGTACCAAACGCCACTAAAGATTGCTGTTGATCATATCTGTAATTTAAATTATTTCATTTATTGACCGGCCAAGATTTAAGATTACCTACAGAATGAAGTGTTTTAATGGGGAGTGAAAGTATTAAGTAGAAAGGACAACAGTTTAAGTTTTGTAGCGACACAGAAAGCAATTTTTAATTATTTTGTTTTTTTTTTTTTTTCAACGTTTTTAATTTTATTTTTGGGACAGAGAGAGACAGAGCATGAACGGGGGAGGGGCAGAGAGAGAGGGAGACACAGAATCAGAAACAGGCTCCAGGCTCTGAGCCATCAGCCCAGAGCCTGACGCGGGGCTCGAACTCACGGACCGCGAGATCGTGACCTGGCTGAAGTCGGACGCTTAACCGACTGCGCCACCCAGGCGCCCCAATTATTTTGTTTTAATCTCCCCCCTCCCCCCTCATTTTAGAGAGAGAGTGTGAACAGGGCTCTCTGGAGAGGGGCAAAGGAAGAGAGAGAGAGAGAGACAGACAGACAGAGAGAGAGAGAGAGAGAGAGAGAGAACAAGCTTATCTATCCCATGCCCTGGGATCATGACCCAAGCAGAAATCGAGAGTGGAATGTACAACCGACTGAGCCACCCAGGCGCCCCTATTTTGTTTTAATCTTTTATTCAAAGTATGAGTGTTATTACAGCAAGAAAATATTTTAGTTACTATTAAGGGATTTCCATTGGTGTCTGATGTTTATATTTGTATGCTGAACCCTAAGAACTAGGAAAGTTCCTTTTTTCTTTTCTTTTTAAAGTTTTTAATGAACATAACATGTTCATTAAAACCATATAAAACTAGGGGCGCTTGGCTGGCTCAGTCCAAGGAGCATAAGACTTGATCTCAGGGTTGTGAGTTTGAGCCTCATGTTGGGTGTAGAGATTGCTAAGAAAAATAAATAAACTTAAAAAACAACCTACTTTAACCTGTATATATGCATGCAATTATGTGTGCTACATTTTCTCATACAATTCTCTGCATTTGAAGTATCTTGCAGTTTTACTCCTCAATATTTTTTTATTCTGAATCAAAAAGGGTTTCTTAGCTTTTAAAATAGAGAATTTAAAGATGAAGGGGGTCCAGATTTCCTTTAACATTCATTCAGCCATTTCACATATATTCATGAAGCACCTATCACAGGCCACATGAAGGTGCTGAAAATATAGCCATGAACCAAATAAAGTCCCCATCCTCTGGGAGTTTACATTTTTGTGGAGGAAGAAGAATAAGGCACAAAGGGACAAGTTCAAATATGTCTGACTAAGATAAGTGTTATGGAGACAGGGTGAGGAGATTAGGGAGTGTGGGGTGAGTCAACGCAAAGCCTTTTTAAAACAAGCCTTTTTTAAAATTATAAAGAGAAAGGAAAAGAGTTTTATTTGAGCCCAAGTTAAGACAGCTGCCTGGGATACACATAGTTCCCTGGGGAAAGAACACTTTCTTCCCCAGGTTATGTGTGTGTGGTTGTTTTGTTTTGTTTTCCTTTTTTGTTTTGTTTTTCCACATAAAGAGTTGCAAATCATCATGATGAAGGACATTCCAGAAGGTTATAGGCTTTATCTTGTGTTTTTTATATGTGCAAGGCTGTATGACTTTAATCTTGTGGGAATCAGGAAGGCTTTTTTCTTTTTCCTATCTTCATGTTTGCAGTGCTCCTTTTTGGTTATGTTTTTAATGAAGCAGATGTACAATGTGTGCTTGGGGCAGAAATAGAGCCCGTCCTTTGAGGTCTTGCTTATTTTCAAGTTGATAAATGTTACAGTATAGCTTCTCTGGGAGCCTAGGGGCAGGGCCCACAAACATGAAAAGTTGAAATTTTTATTTTATTTTATTTTATTATTTTTTCTTTTTTTCTTTTTTTTAATTTTTATTTTTTCAATATATGAAATTTATTGTCAGATTGGTTTC